TTTATTCATCCATGCGAATGTCACTGAGCAGAAATAAATCCTGCTCATTTTCTTGCAGCCCTCCAGGTGGCTGCTACTGCTGTAACAACAACAACAACAACAGTAGTAGTGGTATTTCAAAGGGGTAGCCAAGTCTGTCTCTTCGAACATTTAAAAAAGAAACATAAGAGTTTTGTGGCAACAATTCTGGTTTCTTATGTGCTTCCATTTATCACAACCCACATTGGCAACAGCATATGATCATTAGTGATGGCAGCAATGATGTCAGGCAAAAACAAAACCAACGTGAGAAAATAAAGAAGACCAAAATGTTGTGGCACCTTAAAGACTAACTGCTATATTTTAATTGAGGTTCTCTAGAGAAGTCCATTTCTTCAGACATCTAACCTAGCAGTTCCTTTGTAAGGTGCCACAACATCTTGGTCTCCTTTATTTTTCCACATGCGTTTTGTCTTTTTGCCCGACATGTTAGCATGGGTTAAAATGACTACCTCTTCTAATGTGTTGCTCCTTAGGAACAATAGTGACATTTTCTTAGTCTCACAATGTCGGAATTCTGCAAGGACCTCATTTAATTTGCAGTTTCGTAATATGTCACATATCCACACACTAGATGACTTTTGCCCTGGAGGCATTTTCTTTTTCAAAAAGAGCACAAAGAGGAAAAGGAATAAAAGCTCTGCCTGTGTAAGCACAGGTTATGGGGAAGGACAAGGGTTGCTGAAAGAAGAAGCTGGCATCTGCCCTTTTACATACAAATCTTGGAAGTTCCTCTTTGATGTGTTCTATTACTGTACTTGTTTGGACAAGTGAAAGCCATAGGTTTTGCAGTAGCAATAGAAATATTTCTCCTAGAACAGGCATTATTTGTTCACTTGTGGAGTATCTACCAGGGCCCAAACTGTGTCACCCTCCTATTCTTGTTTTTAAAGACCTGCTTTGTTGTGATTTTTCTGCTTATAATTGTGGTTTGACGGCTAACCTGCTCAGTTACAGAAAGCCAAAAACAGAGATGAACCCATTTAGCAGGTGTGAACATTCAGCAGTTCAAGTCTTGCATAGAATTAAGATGGCCGGAACTGTTTACCTAAAAATCATCAATGGGGCAGGGGCTAAATGGACCTTGAGAAAAATTTTTACAGCCAGGGTACTAAAAACCAAAAGGCCCTGTTGCACATCCCAGTCAAGTGTCTCTCTAGCCAGTGGCAACTGATGGAATGGGGCCTCTGATGATAAATGCCTTGGGCGGGCAGGTTCATGTAGAGCTTCTCCCCGGCCTTGGCCTGGGCCGCCCTCGTGGCGACACCTGCCCCCACTACGCCACAATCCACCTCTCTAATGGGCCGCCCTCGTGGCGACACCTGCCCCCCTACGTCACAATACACCTCTCTAGGCACTGGAAGGAGAGGCTCCTCCTGGCCGGGGCACTCCAGCTGCTCACCCCAGCCTCGCCCTCTGCCATGGCTGGCCTCACCACTGCCCTACGCTGCCACCTTGGCTGCCCTACGACGTCAGCTGGCGCCCTGTCACTGGTTGCCATCCGCCGTGGCTTGGTTGCAGCTGGGCCGGAGAAGGGGGTGGGAAGGGAGAGATCAGGCAGCTGGGGATCCACCTCCAGGCAGAAGAGGAGGAGGAGGGGAGGGGGTTAGGGTTGCGTCCTCATTCCCTCCAGGATTTTCATTTTTACCCCATTTGGGGTAACTTACCCCTGGTCCCTGATGACTGGCATAAAGCACTCTCTGGGCAGTTTACAGTTTAATTATACAGACTAACCCCCCCCCCAAGCGAACCAGGTACTTAATTTACTGACCTGGGAAAGATGGAAGACTGAGTCAACCTCAAGCCCACTGGGATCAAACTCAGGTTGTGAGCAGAGTCTTGGCTTCAGTAGTGTAGTTTAACCATTGTGCCATGGGACTCAGTAGTTTCCTACTTCTGATAAGAACCCACCTTGGTCTTTTTTTAAAAACTGCCAGAGCTTAGAAAAGTTACTTTTTTAGGACTGCAACTCCAAGAATTTCCAGCAAATGTGGCCATTCACCATGCTTGCTTGGGGTGACCTAACTGTGGTAGTCCAAAAGGTTAACTTTCCCAAGGTCTGGAGCTGGCTGGCTGATTTCAAAAGGCTGTCTGCCTATTACCCCAGGCACAATCACTACCCACTTATAACCTCCACCTATCCTCCAGTGAGCTCAAGGCAGCAAATGTATCTTGTCTCCTTCCTGCTAACGACCCAGTGAGGTAGGTTGGATGAGTCAAGAAACTGGCCCAAAATCACCCAGAAAGTTTCTGTGGTGGAATGGAAGCTTGAACCTGGATTACTCAGCTCCCAGTTCAAAACTGCAACCACTGCAGAATACTGGCTCTGTTGGAATTTTTGCAGCTTTGCATGCTGCCTCCAGTAGGTTTGGCTGGGAAGAACTTTTCTGGGCTGGGGTAATTATCAATCTATTCAGCATTAACTAATTGTTCCCTCCTGCTTCTGATTTCAAAGAGAGCCCTGCCTCTCTGCTGAGAGCCTTCTGTTGAGGTCAGTTTGCTAAAAACCAATCACGTCCGTCAATTTGCTCTTTGATCTATTCAACCGTAAGTAATGAAACCTTTTATTCTTTCTCCTACTAATGTCTCAGAGTGAATTATTAAGACTGTAAGTGCCAGCTGATGAGAAAAAGAGATGAACTACTATGGGGAACTTGAAGTTACTGTATTTTTCACTCCATAAGACGCACCTTCCCATAAGACGCACCAATTTTTTAGGAGAAGAAAACAGGAAAATATAATCTGTTTTCTTCGCTCCATAAGATGCACAGACTTTCCACCCCCTGTTTTGTGGGGAAAAAGTGTGCCTTATGGTGTGAAAAATACAGTATTCTGTTCTATGAATTCCTGCACTTCTGCTGCACAGCTAGAGGAATTGAACCAAAATTCAAAACTCTGCAAAAGGCTCTACACTTACTTAGTCCAAAGTGGAGCTGTTAAAAGTTTGATATATATAACTAGGAAATATAAAACAGACCTTGGCAAGAAAAACAGAAAAATCCCGCTGAGGATTGAGAGTTGAGTTCAGAATTGCCTCTCACATTTAAACCCATCTAATATGATGTAGAAAAGCAGCATGCATTTTTAAGCAGTTTTCATGGGTCAGCTATTGTCACCTCAACACTGTTCTTAGTTATTCATTTTGATACATTCATCTAGTAGGATTACAAAATACAATGCAATTGTAATTCGATCAGGAATACACTGCAATAATGCAGGTGAATAGCTGAATGTAACTTTAGCAAGGCTTCAGTCACCTGCTGTTTGTGACTGGAACATTTGTTCTTCAAGTGGCAATTGACTGACTTCCCACAGTATCCAACTTGTTCTGCCTCTACAGCTGAAACCCTACTGAGAACAGTATGGTACAA